GGGTTGTATTAGAGAGACCTGCACTTTGTGCATACTTACTTTGACTGTCTAGTGTGCGTTTGTTTTCGCCTGTGGCCTGTTGCCGGGTTTGGCGTGCACTAAGGACTTCACTAAAGAGCTTTGGATTTATATCTCTGTGTCCTGCGTGTGATTCCACATCCCACTACACTCCACTCCTGACAATGGTGAAGTTATGAATTACACTGGATGGTGTATCAATACATCCAGTCACTACAAAGATACATAACTCAGTTGCCATACAGGAAGGAAACCGCGCAGCGATTTCACCATGAGGACAATGGTGCCTTTAAAACAGTTACAGAGTTTAATAGCTGTGATAGGAGAAAACTGAGGATGGATAAACAACATTGTAGTTACTCCACAATTCTAACCTAAATGACATAGTGAAAAGAAGGACGCATGTACAGAATAAAAAATATTCCAAAAACATGCATCCTGTTTGCAATAAGGCACTAAAGTAAAGAAGTGAACTTTATATCCTGAATATAAAGCAATATATTTGGGGCAAATCCAACAGAACACATCACTTAGCACCACTCTTCACATTTTCAAGCATGGTGGTGGCTGCATCATGTTATGGGTATGTTTGTCATCGGCAAGGACTACGGAGGTTTTTAGGATGAAAAGAAACGGAATAGAGCTTAGCACAAGCAAAATCCTAGAGGAAAACCTGGTTCAGTCTGCTTTCCAACAGACACTGGGAGACAAATTCACCTTTCAGTAGGACAATAACGTAAAATACAAGGCCAAATATACACTGGAGTTGCTTACCAAGAAAACATTGAATGTTCCTGAGTGGCCTAGTTAACGTTTGCCTTAAATCGGCTTGAAAGTCTATGGCATGATTTGAAAATGGCTGTGTAGCAATGAACAACAACCAATTTGACAGAGCTTGAATAATCCATGTGTGCAAAGCTGTTAGAGACTTACCCAGAAAGACTCGTAGCTGTAATCGCTACCAAAGGTGATTCTAACATGTATTGACTCAGGGGTGTGAATACTTATGTACATTAGATATTTCTGTATTTCATTTTCAATACATTTGCAAACATTTCTTAAAATATGTTTTCACTTTGTCAGTATTGTGTGCAGATGGGTGAGATTTTTTTCTTGTATTGAATCCATTTTGAATTCAGGCTGTAACACAACATAATCTGGAATAAGTCAAGGGGTATGAATACATTCTAAAGGCACTGTATGAGGCAAACCATTTCCAGATTTTGTACATGCCTTTTAAGTGCTGACATATAAAATGGTTTAGTGCAAATCCAACCCTTGTAATATTGGTACAGTATGCAGATAAGGAGATGACAATTAGGCTACAGGAGATGAGCATTACAGGTAACATGTTATTTTATTTTATTCATTTCAGCAATGTTGCTTGCAAAAAGGTTGCAGTTGTTCCCATAGATAGACAGTACATGGTTGCTCTAGGTACAGTTGAAGTCGGAAGTTTACATACATTTAGGTTGGAGTCATTAAAACTCGTTTTTCAACCACTCCACACATTTCTTGTTAACAAACTATAGTTTTGGCAAGTCGATTAGGACATCTACTTTGTGCATGACAAGTAATTTTTCCAACAATTGTTTACAGACAGATTATTTCACTTATAATTCACTGTATCAGTATGGGGGAAAAAATGTAGGCACTCACTAACTGTAAGTCGCTTTGGATAAGAGCGTCTGCTAAATGACTAAAATGTAAAATCTAATGTATCACAATTCTAGTGGGTCAGAGGTTTACATACACTAAGTTGACTGTGCTTTTAAACAGCTTTGGAAAATTACAGAAAATGATGTCATGGCTTTAGAAGCTTCTGATAGGCTAATTGACATCATTTGAGTGAATTGGAGGTGTACCTGTGGATGTATTTCAAGGCCTACCTTCAAACTCAGTGCCTCTTTGCTTGACATCATGGGAAAATGAAAAGAAATCAGTCAAAATTTTTTTGTAGACCTCCACACGTCTGGTTCATACTTTGGAGCAATTTCCAAACGCCTGAAGGTACCACGTTCATCTGTACAAACAATAGTACGCAAGCATAAACACCATGGGACCAGGCAGCCGTCATACCGCTCAGGAAGGAGACGCGTTCTGTCTCCTAGAGATGAACGTACTTTGGTGCAAATCACTTCCAGAACAACAGCAAAGGACGTGAAGATGCTGGAGGAAACAGGTACAAAATTATATATATCCACAGTAAAACGAGTCCTATATCGACATATCCTGAAAGGCCGCTCAGGACATACCCTGAAAGGCTGCTCAGCAAGGAAGAAGCCACTGCTCCAAAACCGACATAAAAAAGCCAGACTACGGTTTGCAACTGCACATGGGGACAAAGATCATACTTTTTGGAGAAATGTCCTCTGGTCTGATGAAACAAAAATAGAACTGTTTGGCCATAATGACCATTGTTATGTTTGGAGGAAAAAGGGGGTTGCTTGCAAGCCTAAGAACACCATCCCAACTGTGAAGCACGGGGTGGCAGCATCATGCTGTGGGGGTGATTTGCTGCAGGAGGGACTGGTGCACTTCACAAAATAGATGGCATCATGAGGAAGGAAAATTATGTTGATATATTGAAGCACCATCTCAAGACATCAGTCAGGAAGTTAAAGCTTGGTCGCAAATGGGTCTTCCAAATGGACAATGACCCCAAGCATACTTCCAAAGTTGTGGCAAAATGGCTTAAGGACAACAAAGTCAAGGTATTGGAGTGGCCATCACAAAGCCCTGACCTCAACCCTATAGAAAATGTGTGGGCAGAACTGAAAAAGCGTGTGCGAGCAAGGAGGCCTACAAACCTGACTCAGTTACACCAGCTCTGTCAGGAGGAATGGGCCAAAATTCACCCAACTTATTGTGGGAAGCTTGTGGAAGGCTACCCAAAACGTTTGACCCAAGTTAAACAATTTAAAGGCAATGCTACCAAATATTAATTGAGTGTATGTAAACTTCTGACCCACTGGGAATGTGATGAAATAAATAAAAGCTTAATAAATCATTCTCTCTACTATTATTCTGACATTTCACATTCTTAAAATAAAGTGGTGATCCTAACTGACCTAAGACAGGGAATTTTTACTAGGATTAAATGTCAGGAATTGTGGAAAAACTGAGTTTAAATGTATTTTGCTAAGGTGTATGTAAACTTCCGACTTCAATGGTATAACTGACCCTGGATAAGCTAGCGACTGGGCTAACACAGCTAACCTTTTAGGTCAATAATATGCTGTTTTTATTAACATTTTGTTGGCTTTATAATTGTGAGAGAAATTTAACTAGCTATAGCTAGCTAGTTATACTTAGGTAATTTACAAGGTTAGCTGACTTTTCTCAAAATGAACCTCATTGTGGCTAGTTACTTATTGTCTCTCATGCTAGCCTTTACAGCCAAATATCACTTCAGAAACGTCAAAATGTATTGATATGGCCAGCATTGTAGACCATTTCTCGCCTAGGACCCTTTAAAATCAGTTTTATATTTTGCCAAATTCCGTTTTCTCCGTTTTGTTTTTCCAGGTTTCTGTTCTCAAATTTTTTCAGGTTTTCACTCTCAAAATCACACTTTTTTTTAAAATAGAAAAACAACTCAATTGGATGTTCTAACTCCACAACAATGCTTTAATCAGGAGACCACAACATTTTAGGCATTTAGATTTTTGGGTGTAGTTACCCTTTAATTCCAGTGTGCACCTAGGGTGTTTTTGTACCACACATGATAGTAATTTAAGTCACTCTGGATAAGAGCGTCTGCTAAATGACTAAAATGTAATAGTAGAGTTTGCAAAACAAATACCCACTGGATTGATGCAAATAGGCTACTTTGTAGTTAACATTTAATTGAGAAGGTTTTTGGGAAAGCCTTTCCATCTACCAGAAGATTTTTCTTTAGCATCACTGCTAACGGTTACACAAAGTGGTAGCTGCGCACAACACACATTCACACACATGGAGAATTCTTGTTGCCTCTTCAGAAAGTTGCAGGAAATACGAATCATTGATGCATTCTGTTGTCTTATGATAAAGTTGGGCAAATTACTTAATTTTCAATACATTTAGTTGATTCCCTACTAAGTTCAATACATTTTTTAATATTGTCGAATTCCGTTTTATTGTCTGGATTCCGTGATTCTGTCCGCATTCTCCGTATCACAGATTTTATAAGGCCCTACTCCCCTCCTGCTGCAGCTTTAGCTCATCTCGAAATAACAGTAAAGTACTGTGAAAACCAGCATGCTGCAAACGTTCTAAAATGTTTTGCCACCAGTGCTTGTTTTGTTGACATATTTTGTCCTCACGCACTGTTGCTCCTACGGCACTAATCTGGTGAGCACCTTTGGAGCTCTGTCCAAGCAAGGCATTTTATGATTTCTGCCATGGATCTTCCCCAGGCTTCGCATTTTAAGGAAGTCTGGTTCAAGACAAGGTTAAGTATCAGGTAACAGAATGCTTTTAGAATTATGAATGTTAAAGCCAGGATAAACACAGAAACCAAAACAACATACAGTAAAACATTTAAATTTCCTCTCAAGACAAGCAAACGTTTTACTTCTATGAAAACATTCCCTTATACTCTGTAGGTGACATTTACTAGCGTGATGTTGCTACAATATATGTGAGTGGAGCAGTAGAACAAGATTAGCTTATTTCCCTTTAGCCATGAAACAAGTGAGTTACGTGGGCCTAACTAAACTCAGAGAAAATGTAATCATAATCAACAGGCTATCCAACCATCTCAGCCAAACCCCCTAAGCATTCAGAGACAGCACGTCAAGCTGTGCTAAAATGTAGATCAGCACAACTCTCCCTCGAATAATTAAGGAAAATGTATGTCTGTTCAGATAATGGCTCAGAATTACAAGTAAACCCTAAAGGAATCCCTCAAAAACCATCATTTAACTTCACAAAGCAATCACTTTTACTGCTAAGGCATTCAAATGGGAAAACAGGCCCTTTCCATGAACAAATTCAGCTCATTGAATATTTGGCTCACCTTCATGGCAGTAGCTTCCCTTGTAGCCAGTGTTGGTGCAGTCACAGAGGACCTCTCCCTGGTGGATGGAGCAGAGGCCTCTGTTGCTACAGGGGTTCTGTTTAATACACAGGTATTCCAAATCATTCTGAACACTTTGGCCATCCAGGAGCACTGGGAGGGTTTCCCCCAGCTTCAGGTTGGCGATCAGGCCCTGGAAGGGTGGCTCATATTTGACGGTGCTGGACGTGAGGGCAGATAGGCGCACATCTGGCGAGATGCCGCCTACGTAAAGGTCACTGGCCACCACCATCTCACTCCTCTTGGACTTGACTTTGGCCACCTTCTCCTCGTTGTCCACCACCAGGCTGGTCTCTCTGTAGTTGCGGGTGAGCAGCACGCGGTGCCAGCGCTGGTCGTTGACGTGGGTCTCCGTGTGCAGGGAGGCAGGCTCTGCGCAGTGGATGGTGAAGCGCAGATGCAGCCGGCCATCTGTGATCAGTAGCTCCAGGAAGTCACAGTTCCCTCCATCGTCCAGGTAGAGCACCAGGGCCTTGCTGATGTTGGTCTTCAGAGTGAAGCTCAGCTCACCTGTGACCTTGGCCTCCCAGCGGCCGTACCGTGCCCACTGGCCAGGGACTCCCTCGTACTCCAAGGCCGTGGCCATGACTGTCAACAACAGCCCAGTCAATAGCAGGGGCCACACAGCCCGACCTTCACGTTGCCCCTTGCTGCTTATCATCTTCCCCTTCTGGCCCTAATCCCTCCAACTAGGTCTCGTTGCTTTTAATCCACCACCGCTGAGAGAGGCAGAAATGATCTCCAGTCTACACTGTTGTTGTGTTTTCCCTAAAGTTTACAGAAATAATATGATTCCAATGCGTCTCTTTAGCTTTGCCTCTCTATCCTGATTATCTTCTTAGCCTCTCCATTGAGTTGAAAAACTGGGAATAAAATCCCAAAAATGGTCAGTTATTATACAGAGAACAGGCTACAGAAAATGTTTTGGGGACATGATAGAATCCATATGTTTAGGAATCTAGGAACTAGCACATACTGTAGCCTACGTTTAGGAGTCCAGGAACTAGCACATACTGTAGCCTACATTTAGGAGTCCAGGAACTAGCACATAATGTAGCCTACGTTTAGGAGTCCAGGAACTAGCACATAATGTAGCCTACGTTTAGGAGTCCAGGAACTAGCACATACTGTAGCCTACGTTTAGGAGTCCAGGAACTAGCACATACTGTAGCCTACGTTTAGGAGTCCAGGAACTACCACATTTACAAAAACAAGTGAAGATTGCTGCAGAATGTTGAAGTGAGCTGGTTTGGGTAATGGGTCACAAACAGGACAAACAACAAAACTAATTCAAGGCTATCTGTTCCTCTTCCCCTTCCTTATCAACCAAATATCCTGGCAGCAGTCCAGTCCAGTCTGGTCTCCAGGAGTTAGCTAGGCACAGAGCCAAGCAGAAACAGGTGCAGGCCCCATCTTCGTTAGTGTCCCACTGCTCTGGAATACACACAAGAAAATTATGTTAGGAGAGGAATAAAAGATAATTGACAGCTTAGCATCATTTTAAATCTCCAGCCGCTGGAGTTGTCTAATCTACTGAAGCTATGTAACTCACATAACAAAATAATGACATAACATAATAGATTATAAAAATGTAAGCTTTAACATTATAATAACTAAAACATTGTATGTCTTTAATCTTCTGTAGTTATATAAATCATATAATTAAATAATGACATAAAACAAATAATTAAATATGGCACAGAAAAAGAAAGAAGAGAGAGATTGAGAGCGAGAGAGAGCGAGAGAGAAAGAAAAATACTTTAGTATTGCATTGCTTTGTTTATTAGTCCCCCCGGCGACACAGCAGAGAACCCAGAGAGGCAGGGGAGGAAAGATTATTTTAGTTAGAGACCAATGGAGGCTTGGAGTGTAGGAAGAGACTCAGGGCTTTTCAATCACGTCAATAGGGTTTGGGAGCTTCGTTGAAAGCACTACAGATAGTATACTGACGGAGTGAGAGAGAGGAAGATATATATATACATATATATATATATATATATATATATATATATATATATATATATATATATATATATATATATATAGAGAGAGAGAGAGAGAGAGAGAGAGAGAGAGAGAGAGAGAGAGAGAGAGCAGATTGCTGTGTTCATGTTGTGCATCTAATTAAATATGAAATGTATTTTTAGCAAGATTACCATTGTGAGTACTGTGACCTTTCTCAAAAGGTCTTCAGTCAAAATTAAACAACACAAACGTTTAATTTTACAGTCCTCTCTGATTAGCTTTATCAGGATGGCCCTGCTGTTGCACTTTGTCACTTTCCAGTGATCTTCCAAAGTGATTCAGTGTCCTTGAATGTGACATCTAACAGCAATTATCTTGCATAATGAGCAGGAAATCTGCAGAGGGAGGGACACCTTTTAATTAAGGATAACTATCAGGACCTGTCAGTTATCTGGTAAGAAGTGGATGAAAAGCTGAGAGGAAAGTGAACAATTCCCCTTTTATGCATGCCGCAAAATGACAAGATCAACATGAAAACATTTGGTGAGAACAACAGTAGACACTAAATATAATTTAAAAGTACCCACTTTCAATTAACACAATTATAGTCAAAGAGCTAGCGTGGTGCCGTAGTCCCAAGTTTCCCTTGCTGCTCCTTCTAATACATTTAATCAAATCAAAACTGGGCCATTTGCCGCTCCCCCTCCACCCACAAGAAAGTGCAACAGACTGCATGTCTTTCCAGACAAATCAGTCTTCGTCTGCCTCCAGGAAAACGCCTGCAGAATGAAGGAACGAATTGCCTTCGGATTGTTTGATGAATTGCTGTGGCCTGTTGAGACAGAGGCACTGTGGCTTGTTGTGACGGAGGCACTGTGGCTTGTTGTGACGGAGCCACTGTGTCCTGCGGAACACAAGTCTCAAAGCTCTAATGACAACGAAGGTACAGGCCTTTTGCATGTTGGATTGTCACTTGAAAAGAAAAAGCCTTCGTGACAGCCTTCATCTAGAAATAACACAGTAAAACACCCAAATCAAAGACAGGGGTTATTGAAACCAATTGATTGCAGAATCAAACACACTGAATAAATAAAGTGAGTGCAGATATGGGTTATAGTTGATGGACTAAAACCAACACATCAACAAGCCCTTCCATCCACCTGTTATTCAATATAAAACAGCATTCACTTTTTGTTAGCCTGAAGTACCTCCACACAGCAGGCTACACACGAGGCCAAGCACAAAGCCCAGCACAATCAAACATCTCTCCTCCCAGCTAGACAACAGGGATGAAGCTGGGGCTTACTGGGCAGAGCAGAAAACTATGTTTGGTGAAAAATAAGTGATGAGCCCAGCCTGTTCAGTTTACAGTGGGCTGAATCTAAAAGTCTAGAGAAGATCCTCTCCAGATCTGCTTTGAGCTGGCGAATTCTCCCTCTCTGAGAGGAGAGGTGTGAGCTGGGAAACATGTTGCAATGCAGCAGGAATGCTAATGATATATCAGACACCAGAGAGACCAGACTTAACCACAGTTGCTGGTGGCCTTTATAAACACCAACAATTATAAATAAAATGATAAAAAACTTAAGCTCATTAACAATGCATATCACACAACCAACCTTTTGTGTGAGGGTATGTTAATTGACCTTGCAGGAATACAAATCATTGTCCTGCCAACCCACTCTGTGTTGTGTTGAGTGTCTGCATACAGTGAATAGGTTTCTCTCTCTCCCCTTCTCTCTCTGGGACAGTGGCTGTGTAGGAAAGGGCAGTGCTCCTCTCAGATGTGGCAGAGTCAGAGTGGATGCAGGTACTGAACAGCTCTCTCCTTTTCCCTTCACTTCTGAACACCACTGTTGCATCGAGGCTCTCCAACTCACTGAACAGAGATGGCTGGGTGATGGTGGGGAACCATAGTTGCTTCTGAAATGGCATAGTGCACTATATGGGGAATAGGGTACCATTTCGGAGGCAGCCTATGGGAATTGCAGCCAAACTGGGAAAAAAAAGGCTTATGTATTGCATTTTTTGTCTGAGCCACACACCCCAGTCAAAAAGGATTAATAGTGCCTAAACATATCATATATCGTCAAGGACAGTCTCACGTACAGTGAGGGAAAAAAGTATTTGATCCCCTGCTGATTTTGTACGTTTGCCCACTGACAAAGAAATGATCAGTCTATAAATTTAATGGTAGGTTTATTTGAACAGTGAGAGACAGAATAACAACAACAAAAATCCAGAAAAACACATGTCAAAAATGTTATAAATTAATTTGCATTTTAATGAGGTGTCACGCCCTGACCTAGAGAACTCTTGTTGGTTGGGTAAGGGTGTGAGTTTCAGTTTGAGATCTATGTGATCATATTCTATGTTGGAGATCTAGTATGTGTATGTCTAGGTTTGGCCGGGTGTGATTCCCAATCAGAGGCAGCTGTCGCTCGTTGTCTCTGATTGGGGATCATACTTACAGTGGGAGAAAAAAGTATTTAGTCAGCCACCAATTGTGCAAGTTCTCCCACTTAAAAAGATGAGAGAGGCCTGTAATTTTCAACTATGACAGAAAAATTAAGGAAAAAAAATCCAGAAAATCACATTGTAGGATTTTTAATTAATTAATTTGCAAATTATGGTGGAAAATAAGTATTTGGTCACCTACAAACAAGCAAGATTTCTGGCTCTCACAGACCTGTAACTTCTTCTTTAAGAGGCTCCTCTGTCCTCCACTCGTTACCTGTATTAATGGCACCTGTTTGAACTTGTTATCAGTATAAATGACACCTGTCCACAACCTCAAACAGTCACACTCCAAACTCCACTATGGCCAAGACCAAAGAGCTGTCAAAGGACACCAGAAACAAAATTGTAGACCTGCACCAGGCTGGGAAGACTGAATCTGCAATAGGTAAGCAGCTTGGTTTGAAGAAATCAACTGTGGGAACAATTATTAGGAAATGGAAGACATACAAGACCACTGATAATCTCCCTCGATCTGGGGCTCCACGCAAGATCTCACCCCGTGGAGTCAAAATGATCACAAGCGAAAATCCCAGAACCACACGGGGGGACCTAGTGAATGACCTGCAGAGAGCTGGGACCAAAGTAACAAAGCCTACCATCAGTAACACACTACGCCGCCAGGGACTCAAATCCTGCAGTGCCAGACGTGTCCCCCTGCTTAAGCCAGTACATGTCCAGGCCCGTCTGAAGTTTGCTAGAGTGCATTTGGATGATCCAGAAGAGGATTGGGAGAATGTCATATGGTCAGATGAAACCAAAATAGAACTTTTTGGTAAAAACTCAACTCGTCGTGTTTGGAGGACAAAGAATGCTGAGTTGCATCCAAAGAACACCATACCTACTGTGAAGCATGGGGGTGGAAACATCATGCTTTGGGGCTGTTTTTCTGCAAAGGGACCAGGATGACTGATCCGTGTAAAGGAAAGAATGAATGGGGCCATGTATCGTGAGATTTTGAGTGAAAACCTCCTTCCATCAGCAAGGGCATTGAAGATGAAACGTGGCTGGGTCTTTCAGCATGACAATGATCCCAAACACACCGCCCGGGCAACGAAGGAGTGGCTTCGTAAGAAGCATTTCAAGGTCCTGGAGTGGCCTAGCCAGTCTCCAGATCTCAACCCCATAGAAAATCTTTGGAGGGAGTTGAAAGTCCGTGTTGCCCAGCGACAGCCCCAA